CTTCTTCACAGGCATCCAGATGCTGCGCTGCCTAACAGGTCTGGAACCAGAGACGCTTCGAATAGGGTAGGGAGGCTCTCCCAGCCCATCCCAGCAGGCCACGGTATCTCACTCCTGCATTTGTTCAGCGGATGCTCTGTGTTGAACCTAAGCTGTGTCGCTTATTCGTCCCAGTAATTTAAGAGGGCAGTTGCTATTGGTTCCCATTTTATATATGAGAATATTATAGCTTGGAGAGGTTCAAACCTTTCCCCAGCTAATACAGCACTAGATTCCAAGGTCTTTATTCTGCTCATTTGAGACCCACGATGTGGTTTGGCAATGGGACATTTACTGAGCTCCTTTTACGTACAAGGAATGGTCTAAGTAGCGGCGTATGTGTAGCGCTTCCTAATTCAGCAAGCTCCTCCGTCCTCCTTTGGTAAGGGATCACATAAGTAGAGAGTTTTTTTAAACGTTTAAAACTAATACAGTTCCAGCCACCTGAATGGCTGTGTGCTGCTCACGACAGTGTGATCTGGGTGCCAGGTGAGAAAGCTGCCTGACGTACAGTGACGGTAGCAGTTTGTCAAAGGTCACACCGCAAGCAGTTGGCCAGCAAGGCACAGATCTGAGATCATAGCCTCTGCCTTTTTTCCCCACTTGAGGGAAGAGGCTGAAATGGGAGTGGGGTCTCCAGCGCAGTTGGCCTTCTGGCCGGCAGCCAGCCACACTGTTCCTTTCTCCAGCTCCACCAAGGATGTGATCACTTGCTCAGTGTTTCCGGGGCGTTAGCCTGATTTCTTGGCAGCCAGTGAGGCACCCAGGGCTGGGAAATCAGGCAGCCGCCCAGATATTAGAAACAATTACTGCTAATTACCAGACCTGCCAGTTCCCCATTGTCTGCTCACACCCCACCAGGAACTGAGGAGCAGACAATGATGATGTTGGAGGAAACTTTTAATTTCAGGCTGCAGAGGCCTCTCCGCCTGGGAGGCTGGGCCCCGTATGGAACCAAGGGCTTGGCATCTCTTTGGTTTCTTGGTACAAAACAGAGCCTGGGCCCCCTAGAGATCTGGGAGGATGGGGTGGAGAGACCCAGGAATGTGGAGCAAAGAGCCTCTCAGCTGTGAGTCTAGTGTGAGCTTTGGTGCTGTTAATTAAGGGTCTTTAGTTTTGTAAGAATAGCAAGTACATTTCAATCCCCAGACATTTAAGTGACTATTTTTTCCCCATATTTTCTCTATAAAAGGTACACTGTTGCAGAATTGCTGGCTTTATAGCCACTGAGGCCCAACTGCCTGAACTCCAGTACTACTTGTCTTTGGCTTCTTCCAAAAGCAACTGGACTCTCAGATTGAAGTGGAAATAGATTTATGGGAGGCAATCCCAGGAGTCACAAGTGTGGGAGCACAGAAGAAGGAGATAGGAAGGGAGGGAACTAGTACAGGGTGGTCAGCAAAGCCACTGTGGGAAGTCAGAGAATGGAGGGACCCTGCTGGGGAGTTCAGGAGACCAGTTATTCCAGCAACCGACCTCTGTGTTTGTCAGCGCTCAGAAGCTGTTTCTGGGGCATTAACCCTGTGGGGACTCCAGCCTGCCCTGCACAAAGGCGGAGGGTACTGTCACGGCCAGAAGAGACGACGTAAGGCGTGTAAGAGTATATAGCTGCAGCAGAAGTGCCAGCACGAGGGGTGGGGCCGTGCACCACCTGTGTGACTTGGGCGCGGACCGACCTCTTCAATTTGTTTTTGAAATGGGCCCAAGAATCATCGGCCTCAGGTTGGAATCAGTACGTGTAGAGGAGCACACAGTAGTAAGCACTGTAGGCTTGCTGTTACAGATCTTGGTGTCAAGTCCCCTTCTGTGGTATATACTGGAAACTTAGTCTTCCCTGGTTCAAGATTTTCCCAAGAGATATAACTACGTCCTAGGGAAGTTGTAGAGAGAATCCATGTAAATTGCTAAACCAGGTCCAAGGGTGACATTCATAATACAAATGACCCTTCATATCCATGGCTTCTATGAATTCTATGAATTCATGAATTCAGCCAACCATGGATCAAAAGTATTTTTAAAAAATTCCAGAGAGTAGGGCCGATTAGCTCAGTGGTTCAGTGGCCTGCCTTGCAAGTGCAAGGACCCGTGTTCAATCCCCAGTACCCCCCCAAAAAAAAATTCCAGAGAGTTCCAGGAAGCAGAACTCATGCAGTGGTACAAGGGTGCATCGCTGCTGCTCTAGCGCCTCACCACTCACACCCTCAGCCCTCTCTGCTCTTACTCTTTGAGCGTCGTGTGCTGCATCCTTTCTGTGCTCTGCAGTTAGGCCTGGTTGTGTCCAGACTGAACATGTGCACACTTTTTCGGTCATTACTCCCTAAGTAGTACAGCATAACGACTAGTTACGTGGCATCTACATTGTGTTAGGTGTCATAAGTCATCCAGAGATGATTTAAAGTGTTCAGGAGAATGTATATAGGTGATAGGCAAATGCTATACCATTGCTCTAACCAAGAACTTGAACAGCTGTGGATTTTGTTGTGAGATGCATCCTGGAACCAAGCCTCTCATGAATACTGAGGGACAACTGTATTTAATAAGAGATAGATGGCAGAGACATTTATCACACTATTTAGTGTTGGAGCTAGTATCACACACTCTAATTTTCTTTTTCCATAGCATTTAGCACCTTCTAACATATTGTACAAGTGTTGGAGGGCAGGAATCACTATCTCATTTATTATCTGAAACGAGATGATTCTGTCTCCAGAACAGCGTGCATACATACACTGTAAACATTTGTCAAACGAAAGAAACAAATGGATGCTGGCTACAGTGTCCATGTACTTACTGGTTATCAGTGCTGCTTAGCATTCAGTAATGGCTGCTATCGCTCTGTTGCTGAGACGATGGAGGGGGGCAGAACTGTGGTCCTCGGTAGTCATCCATCATTCCAACATCTTCTGGAGCATGATCATCACTGTCTACTCCTTGGTCATTGTTTCTCTGGTCCCAGCTACTTTTTTTTTCTCTTTCCCAGTGCTGGGGATGGAGCCCAGAGCCTCATGCATACTAGGCGAGTGCTCTACCACTGAGCTACTCTCAGCTACTTCTGTTTGCCCAGACCATCAGCCTCTATGGGTTTGTCTCTTGGATTCACTGAAACATGTATTTTTTTCTCTAGGGTATGGAGGGGCATATGAGCATTACAGGATCTTCCAGGATCACTTGACCTGACAGCCAGGAAGCTATTTCTGCAAATCATTGTGTTCTTTCCTCAGCTTTTCCCACTAAGGAGGGCAGCACAAGTTCTTTCTGCTTTCAGATCCCCTGAACCACACTTGAGATTATCTGTGCTCCCTCAGCACCACCAGCTCAGCCCAGGGACTACAAACTTGCCCACAGACCATCCAGCATCTCAGTTTTCTCCCTCCTCACTGACTTCCTCTGCTCTCCCCAGCTAGGATTTGTTTGTTGGGGGGGGCAGAGTAGCCTGGTTTTGTACCTACTCTTCTAAGCCTGTTTCTTAGGTTTAGAATTGAACAGCCAAGAAGCTGAGTTTCTAGATCTCTGTATTTATTGAGCATCCTTCCTGTGAGGCAGTAGACTGTGGGGTGGGGTCTCCCTGGGCATCTGGCAGGAGTAGTAGGAAATCATGACAGTGAAAGCACTAAGGCTAGACAGTCAAGTTGTGATCTTGATGTTGATCCTGCCACTGCCTTAGGCAAAAATTGAATCTGTTTGCTACAATGGAGTACCCCAGCAAGGTAAGGCTGGAGCAGCCAGGGCTGGGTATTTAGTACGGTCTGCAGGCTGTTGAGAGGGCAGACCATTGCATGGCTCAGTTGTTGTGACTCCTAGTTTCTGCAATTCTCTTTTTACTTGCTAGAGAGAATATCCAAGTGACCCAGGACGAGGTAGGCATCTATCCATTAGCTCTGGCCAGGCTACAGGGCCATCATTTTTGCTTGGCAGATGGGTTCCTCATCTGAATAAGAATGGAAAAGAACAAAAGCCTTTTGTGGTTATGGTGAGGGTTAGATGAGAAATGGGTTGTACTTTGCTGCTGAAGACCAAGGACATCAGGTGTGGAACGTAATACTGTGCCTCATTTAATACAGTAGACTCTGGAGAAGGGAACATTATTATTTCCATTTCAGAGATAGGAATGGGATTGTTAGAGATAAAGGGAGGAGGGAAATAAGACTGGCTTAAGCAAAATAATAATTACTATTACTTTGTTGACTTATGTAACCAAAAGATGAAATAATTTGCTTCAGGCAGAGCTCACACAGGGGCACCAGTCTGATGTCTTCATGCGTGGACTCTAAGGGGTTAAGATAACTGCCAGAATTCTATCCCATGTCCGAGGCTTGAGTGTGGTGGGAGAAGAGAGCCTTTTCCCTCCCTGCTGTTCACACAAAGCTTCCAGGTCAGATTCTTGTCAGCCGGATGCCCGGATTGGCCAAGATGAGCTGCAGGCCCAGTCTCTAGGGGCAGATTCTGTCCATTGCAGTCACATACCTTGGGGAGAAGGCTCTCCAAAGGCAGTTTGAGGTCTTGTTACCAAAGGAAAGGGCAGTGAATACTGGGTAGCCAAGCAACAGCACCGACCACACACCTGGCCCAAAGCCTCTGTCCAGGACCTCTTAGGCTTTTGTGTGCAGAGTGATCACCTGGGGCTCAGTGTGAATCTGTAGATTCTGATTCAGCACAGGGAGTGGGTTCCGGTGCGTGTGATTCTAATTAGCTCCAGGTGTTGCTGATGCAGCAGGTCTTTGGACCACACTTGGAGCATCACATGAGCTGGGCACCTGACAGCCTCTAACCTCCTGTGATTCTTGTAGAAGTAGTATGCACTTGCCACAGAGGTGGAACCCAAGGCTTAGCAAGGAGAAGTTGCATCATGGGTATGGACAAAGATCACCATGAAATGCAGGATGTTCTGGAGGTACCTGCTGATTTCCTTAAAGTTCTTTTGGCCCCTGGGAACATGTTTGTCTTATCTTTTCTTCTTACAGCCTTAACTATGGGGGAGTTTGCCTGGCATCGGATGCCCAGTTCAGTGACTTCCTGGGCAGCATGGGGCCAGCACAGTTTGTGGGTCGCCAGACCCTGGCCACCACACCCATGGGTAAGTGTCTGTTCCATGGTAAGGCCTGTTCCAAATGGAAAGGGAAAAGAGGGGGGTCTTAGCAGGATTCCCGCATCTCTCCCTCCTTCCCTGTACCTCTTGGCTACATGCACTGTGCACCCAGCCTGTATCTTGGTCCATACTGCTGAGCCTTCAGCAGAGCCCAGGCCCTGGGCGTGAATGTTGGCTCTGTCCTATTGGGCTGGGAGCAGGGGAAGTGGCCTTCATCCTTGTGCAGAGAGGAGGAGCTTGTCTCATCTGTTGGGGCCTCTTGCAGGAGACGTGGAGATCGGCTTGCAGGAGCGGAATGGTCAGCTGGAAGTGGACATCATCCAGGCTCGGGGACTGACAGCCAAGCCAGGCTCCAAGACACTGCCAGGTGTGGCGGCTGCTCTCCCTTATGCAGGGCAGGGCTGGCAGTCAGGGAGGATATCCTGAGATCTATCCAGGGTCTCTAAGAGAAAATTGGGCCTGACGGAGGAGAACCTCTTAATCTTACATGGCACTGGTGGTTTAGGGTTTGTCTAGGGGCCCAGATGAGATTGCCCATCAGCCCTGCCAGTTCCTCCTCTGGATAGAGCTTCTAGATGACAGGGACCATCTTTCCTGCTTATCATTCTAGTCCTGTGCCTAGTAGTGTGCTCTTCATACAGACTTGCCCAGCGTTTGCTGAGTGAGTGGTCAGCAAATGACTGGATAAGTCATGGGCTGAAGAAGGAAGCAGTGAGCAAGAGGAGCGGGCAGTCAGGACTGCCGGGGAGCTGATGTGGCACCCACCCAACACTGCCCCACCTACCACCACTTGCCCCTGGGCCTCCTCTCCACCTCACGGGGCGCTTCTCTCCCCACTTGTCCCCTCCACCCACCATTTGCGGGTCCAGCCTAGAACTCTGCCTGCTGCCTCTGTCCCCAGCTGCCTACATCAAGGCCTACCTGCTAGAGAACGGTGTTTGCATTGCCAAGAAGAAGACCAAAGTTGCTCGCAAGTCTCTGGACCCCCTGTACAACCAGGTGCTGCTGTTTCCCGAGAGTCCACAGGGCAAAGTCCTGCAGGTGAGGGGCGCTGGTGTGCACGTGCTGGTGTTGGTGGGGGTCTCTGGAGGACGTCAAACACTGGCTGGTATGTGCTCTGCAGCTTCCTGTTTCGCTGTTGAGGCCTGGGAACACGTAAAGTTCATCTGTAAAGTGGATAGTAATTATACTACCATATGATAGGCTGTGTGCCTGTGCAGGAGGAACACCTGCACTTGGCCTGTACCAAGTACCCTATAAATGCTCTCCATCATTCACTCTGGCGTCAGGGGCTCGGCCTATGGCCAGAGAAGAATTTGGCCCCAGCCATTAGGAGGACGCTGGTGACCACTCAGGCTGGAACTGAACAGCTAGCTGCCCATCATGTAACAAGCAGAGCCTGGGCTGGATGACCACAGGATCCCCATGCCTGCTCTCAGCTCCCTTAGTCCTTGGATCCACCTGGGTAGGAAAAGTGCCAAGAGCAGGTCCAGGGTGCTCCAGGTTGCCCAGATAGTAGGACTTCACCAAACAGGGAAGCCTGGGTCCTCTGCCCTAGGACAGTTTCACCCTGTGAGTTGAGAACCCTTAGTGAATTGTGAAGTTGTTCTGGTAGGTCTCAAATACTTTTAAAAATGGAATAAAGCAGGACGAGGTGGTGCATACCTGCAATCCCAGCACTGGGGAGACTGAGGCAGGGAGTGTCCCAAGTTTGAGGTCAGTCTGGCTCTATAGCAAGTTTAGGGCCAGCCTGTACTATCCAGCCTGTCT